GGTTTCACCAGGACATTGCCACAATGAAAAAACAGTATCAGGACAAATGGAATCCATCAATGCTAGCTGACTGTTGTTGGACACTGCAGCAAAATGCATCAGATATTGAATACAAACAAAAATCAGCAACAAAATGCTTGTAATTCTGTTGATCTCATTCAGTATGTTAGAAACATTATGTGATTTAATAGATTATAGTCATTAAAAGTTAATTTCATATTTCTCCCAATTCCTACATGATATAGTCATTCTGAAATTATATTTGTGTTCAGTTTGAAGGGGTCTATCATAATCACCAAAAGTTTTTCAGGAAGCAAAACTTTTGAAAAAGTTGCTATCCAAGTCATTTATTTTCATAAAAATATAACATAGCAACCTTAAATGGTAAATATCCAAATCACCAGGGAGACTATCACTAAATTCATATGAGGAGCTCTAGTTGCAGCTCTGTTAATCCATTTATTGAAGCCAGCATTCTCTGTGGTTGTCCCAGATCTTGAGAAACATTTCTACTGGGGTTGGGGTGAAGGTTGGGAGACAACCACCACTGATAGCTTTAAAGCTGAACTTTTGTAAGCCAGTATTTAGCAAATCTGCCTTGTTTTTAAGTATTTTGTTTAAACTATCTTTGTTTTACCTACTTTTGTATTCTAAACTGCCTGCAGGAAAGAAATTACTGGTAGTGAAATGTGATGCAGGCACAATTTCAGCTGAAGAAATGTGAATGTTCTTCCTCAACTTTAAAACCCAGAAAGGTGGAGAAACAAACTCTGTGCTAAAGAAGTTGCATCTGGAATCCCTCACCAAATGGTTGCAAAAACCATACTGAACGAAGCATGATATAGCATCAGAGAGGTTCTTCTAGAGGACAGAATTATCAGTTTCTTTGTGACAGGGGCAAAATGCCATTGGAGGGCCTCCCTGGCTCAAGTGCCTCATTTACATTCTTCTATCGAGATAATAGCGCAGCATCTGCCACCATTTAGTCATCTGGAGAGGAGAGCAACACCCATATGCTGCAGATACTATGATCCTGGTGAATAAATATTCGTCAACCCTGATGACCTGGAGTCTGTTCCAGACTGGCTGCTGTGCAAATCTTTGAAGTTGTTTAAAGTGTGCTGCAATGTAGATGATGAGCTCGGCAATGATGGAATAAATACATATTTAATTTCAGTGTTTCTCAGGAAGCCAGCCCTGGCTTGAAGTCACATGGCCCTTGAGCTGGCCTAATGTCTGCAGGAAAGGCATAGCTTGAATACTTAATTGGGCCTTCCTGGTTGTGCCTTTGATGTGTAGAAATGGCAAAAAGAAAGGCTCGCTTTGCTCTGGGAGAATGCTTGTCAAGGCCACATGTGGGACCTGCAGTGAAACTGGAACCAGAACCTGAAATGTAATGCACATAAAATATTTAACTAGTGAGAGTAAAAACTGAGGTTCCTAGTGTTTAGGCCAGTGTTTCTCAACCTTGACAACTTGAAGATATGTGGACTTCAACTCCCAGAATTTCCATTTGAAGTCTTTACATCTTAAAGTTGTCAAGTTGAGAAACACTGGTTCAGACTGATCCAGAGAGATTTTTCTTTGCTATCAAAACTTCTGGAAGAGAAAATGGGATAGAGGAAGAATGATATTATTTATTTGGATCTGATCAATTTAAATACATGTTTTTCTTTCTTCAGAACTGTGGAGATTTATTGAAAGCCCACAGTTCAATTCCTATAATCTCCAAGGCAGATTATTTTTGTTTCCTTGCTGCTGGCTAGCGATGCTCAGTCCACAAATTGTGCTTTTGCTTTCGCCGTTGTACACCGATCAATGGACTGAATACCTTTCATGTTCTGGCTCATACAATCAAGATTATTTCTGAAGTGTTTCTCATTACCCACTCTTAAACAAGCACAGTTGGGCAAGATTAGAAGCTTAATTTCCTTGGTGGCCACTTGCTTGGCCCAAGTAAAAGGGGTCAGGGCCAGACATTCTGTTTCTTCAATCTTCTTTTCCTTCCTAAGAAATTATATGTTGTCACTGGTGCCAAATGAGGCTTATTTGCTGAAACAATAATAGCAAGATATACCAATTTTCTTGGTATCTTAGAAACCCCAAGCTGTTTTGGTATGATAAGCATAGATGACACCTGGTAATATAATTGTAGTCTTTCTCCCTTTAAAATACTCTAGTCTCCCCACCCCAATCAAAAGGATTACAGTGGTTGCCATCAATATATATTACTTCAATAGCTTTGCAGCAATCAAGTAAAAGAGACTTAAAGTTTCTATCCCTTAATTGGAAAGAGACTGAAAGAATTTTGGGAATTCCAATTTGATAATGGAAGTTGTAATCCAAAAATCTGCTAGACTCTGGTCAAAGGAAAATAGATAGGCATCTTTGTAATCTCACATTTATCAGTATTTATGAAATTTTGCAACCTTAAGATGTGAAGATTTCAACTCAGAATTCCCCAGCTATCCAACTGAATAATTATAATAATTAAAAAAATAAAATTGTCTCTGCCGCATGAAAAAAATCATATTAAGAATTAATATGGACATTATCTTTATATGTTAGGTATCTGTGCAGAGATACTCTGAAACAAGAAAAAGTATTCAAATGCCTGGTTTCCACATGGAAGAAATTGTATTATATCATCAACATAAACTGGTCCTTTCCACCTATCCAACAAAGTCAATTTGGTTAACAGGCAACATGAAATAATCTTAAAGAAGAAATGAAGGGAGTACATTAAGAAATGTATCAGTTCCTCTTTGATGGTTTTTGCAAAAGAAAAGGAGGGAGAGAAATCAGATGCAAGTGCTAAGCTCAACAGACAATGAGAGCAGATGGACAAAAGGGAGTTGTGGGCAGGCTGAAATGGAGAAGCAATTCTACTTGTGTGATCTGATGTGATGTCTCATTAAAGAACAATTATTTTTTGCTCTTATTTCAGTATTCAGCAAAAGTCAAGGGTCATATACTCCTTCAACGTTATGGGGAGGAACTTGCAGATAATTATTTGGAAAATAATAGATTGGAAATGGCTGCCAAAAAAGCAAGAAAAAGGATGGATCTAATGCATAGCCAAGGGATCTGAATTTTATCAGATATGTATTTCTATGTAATGTTTAGCTATCCCTCAGGACTGAGAACATCATTTATGAAAGGCTGTATATGAATTATTTCAATAAAATAAATAATGAAAGTTTTTTCTATAAAGAGTGTGAAGGAATCAGCTGTGTTGGGTAAGAGAAAAAGACCTCTGAATGTGCTGGGACAATGCACAATGTCACTTTCTGATTAGTGATGGCAATCCTGGTCCCAACTGCCATCAAAACCCGAGGAGATAAGTGGTTTTGCTCACATAGGAATACAGTGTGGAATACAATAAGCCCTGATAGATAACATTAAGTGAATTAACTTGAAAATTTTGTTGAGTCAATACAGGAAGCTAGGCTACATGGGAGTTCCTTAATGAAGATATATGGCTTCCTGTTTAACATTCATCTTTTATGGGGAATGTTTATCCCTCAAAAAATAAGGATGATAGCCAAAGTCTTCTGAAATGGTACCAACCCAAGGTATGTTTTATCTTAAAACTAAATTCCCCCATCTGCTGTAGCCAAAACCTATTGTGTCACATTCCTTCTACCTTATATTTCCGACTTCTCACATGATGATCAAAATGTTACTTCAGTCATATATTCTATAGCAAACTGTTATTTTTGCTGGGATAATGTGAACTGTAGTGCAATGCTTATAAAAAGCCAGCTGACTTCTGTCTAATATTCTCTGTGCTCTGCGTCAGCTGTTGCCTCTCAATTCACCAGCACTCTATTCTCTGTTATTATAACCGATATATCACATATGGCTCCCAAGTCACAGAATGTATGGGTTGTATGAGAATGGGAATCCCTATTCTCTTTTTATAAAACCAACCTCAGATATTTTTCCCTTATTTGGATGGTCTTTCTTTCTTTCCATATTGCCTGAACATTTCACAAAATGAATCTCAAAAGCCCACTTCTACCTTCCTACCCAGTATCACATCTCCAACCTTTTTGCTTAATTGAAGCTTCTTTAATTTTTATGGCCAAATTGGCAGAAATGGTTGTTTCAGGGAATATTTCATCTTCCTCAGCATGCTGCCTTTGGCAGCATAATAACCTGCAAAGGAAAGAAAGGCTCTGCAGCTTCAGTAATTATTTCCATAATACTACAGCGTGGACTAACATGTAGCAATCCCACAAAATGTTTTTTCAGAAGACATTATAGACACCTGCCATTCCCTTGTTTCAACAATTACTGGACCTGACAAAACCACATTCATGTGTGCACAGTTACTTTTCTTATATATGATCTAGAACCACAACTGATGGGCAAAAACATGAAAATGCTATTGCTGTGCATTTATTTATAAGCAAATAAAAATAAGGACTTGCTCTGCTGAAAGAGCCAATTAATCAATTTGCTGGCAAAACCTTGGCTTCTCCTTGAAGGCTACTTCTGAAAAAGCTGTAGGTTATGCAACAATGCCAGACTATATACTAGAAGTATTTCAGAATAGTATTTCTTTTGTGATATTTTTTCAATGGTAATCTCACATTCATATAAACTGCACAAGACAGACTGACATGCAGTTTAAATCTCACATGAAGGTTTTCTTGGAAATCTATTTACACAGTTCTTTCTATGAATGATTCAAAATAAATCAGGCCACAGAATTCTGGGAATTCTTATAAAATGGCAATTTTCAGGATTCTTGGAAGTATAAATTGAACTATTATAAATCCAATTCAAGTTTCTTCTGTAGCTATGATCATTTTTTTGTCTTCATCATAATTCTCAACCCCTTCTCAAAAGTCAACAGATGAGACCTAATCTCAAGATCAGTCTGCTTTTGTTAAGGTTGTCATCAAAGCATTCAACCAAGGAAGCTTTTCTTCTCTTTGTTCCTTAGAAGTAAAGCAGGCAGGTACCTAACCTACCTGAGAAAAATAACTTACCCTTTGTTCTTGCATGGCTACAAAAGTTTGGAAACCAGGTGCCACACCAAACCCAAGTTCTTGAACAAATGGCGGCTCAGACTGACTGTGAATCTGGACTTTGACTCCTGCTTCAAATGTTGTTTCATCTAACAAGAGAACAGAATATATGAATCAAGGATTATTCTCTATACTATTCATGTTGTCTTGTATTTTCTGTTATGGATTGCACCAATAGAGGCTAAACCAATTTCTTTGTATACATGATGTACAATGACAATAAAGGCTATTATTATTATTATTATAACTAGAGAGTACTATGTTCTTTGAGAATTAGTGCTGCACAGATGCTAAGCTATATCATCACCACCTATCACCATTATGATTTGAATCTTGTAAAATCTTATAGTCTTTTTAATTTTTATGGGTAAAATATACTATGATGCCAACATAGGAAAATGCTACTACAGAAACATAGGGTGACACCAGTAGATACGCAATACCAAACTCAAAATGAGATAACTTAATTTCTGTGTAAACCATAGAGAAATAATTCTCTTTTAAGTCCCAAGGGTTTCCTCTGGGAAATAATTTATAATTCTGTTTTTAATATCTCGGTGCTGATATTATATCATGATGAAATCCATACTATATCAATTCCCCTCATCCTTTTTTAGTATAATAAGGCCATTACAGAGTTTTTCTTGCTAGTTACCCATAATTAAACTGTCTCCCATAAACTGGCTGACATTAATGTTGAAGCTCAGTAAAGTTTCTAGGATAATTAATCATTGGTTCAATTTTTTTCTGAGTTTGGAAACTATGCAGATTTAACTCTGTTGCATGGACAAAACAGCAGTTTTCAATCCTTTGTTTCTGCATAGTTACACCTAAAATTGTCCACTTTGTATTACCTGAATTACTATATCTGAATTTGTTCAGATATAACACATATATGAAGAGTTTTAAAAAGTGGACTTGAAGCTCAAACTAAATGCTAGAGGAAAACGCAGCTAACCTCCATTTCTTGGCAAATACCATCCTATCTTGCAAGAAGTAATAAATAAATTGATGCATATATTACTGATACATGACGGCATTGAGAATCCATTTTTCCCTACAGATTATCTGGGAATTGGGGTCACTGAGCTGTCAAACACATCCTCTACCTGTTTGGGGAATACCAGCTAATAACTCTTTATGGCATTCTCTGCATATTTGTTCACATTTCACAATACTTTTCCATATTCAAGAGAGCATTTTGTCTCCCTATGTTCATTTCAGCTCACCTGACAGCAGCTTTCTAGGAACTCAGCTGTCTGCCTGAGTTGCAGATGGCAGAGCTGTACAGGTAATTCCAATACTTCCTTCGTATTTGGCAAAAAAAAAAAAAAATACCACAGCAAAAAACAAAACAAAACAAAAAAACAAAAACCTTTTCTAGTTTAAATCTCCTTGACACTGAGGTCATTTTCTTCATTTGGATAATTTTAGTTGTGTACTCACAAAACAGAATAATGAATTGATAAAGGTGGAAGTGAAAGTTGGAAATACAAGTGGAATCTCTTTCACTAAACGTTTTAATGCTGTGTTTTTTACAGATGCAGCAGAAAACACAGTGGATTTGGTCAGATTGATGCAGTTTATAAATGCTGTACAGTATTATTTCTTATGCCTTTCTTTCTTCAGAAACATCTAAAAGATAAGTATGATTTTATTTTTAAGAGCACACACAGAGACACAAGAATTCCTTTATATCATGCTGAAAAGCTTCTTTGGCAATCTGTGATGTGGGGTAAAGGAAAAGTATTCAGCTTGTTTACTTATATACTTTAAGATCTGCACAACTCCAAATAAGTCTGGGCAGAATGTGTGTGTGTGTGTGTGTGTGTATGAAAAAGGCATGCTTCTTAGTTCCAATAAGACTACATTGCTTAACTTGAGTTGTATTGATCAGCGACAGCCATATTTCAAGCTCAGCCCTGTCTGGTCAATACTCCTACCATCTGGGCTGATTATTTTGTTGGAAGTTTCACTTTGCGCACATCTGTGAAAGACAATCTGGCACATTTCACTCAAGCTGGCAAAGTGTGTGCGAATAGAGACACTTCGATTTATCATTACGGCTTCCCATTGTTATTTCTTCATGCTGTTATTATGGCTCTCCAATGTGCAAAGAACAATGCCTGCTATTTGTCAAGGAAAGTACCAGGAGAAACAAGAATACAGCAGAGAAAAGGCCCAACTAAAGTCCAAAACTGGAGTTGAGTATGAATGCTGAATTTCAAAACTGTATATACTGTAATGTTTGCCAAGACTTCAGTGGTATTTAAGATCAACTGTTTAGTTACGTCTTTATAGGATTTTAAAAACAGTTGAAAATGCACGCATTGTGCAAACATAAAATTACTGTTATCTCCAGCTGTAAGGCTATACTCAGCAATACTTTCAAGTAAGAAAGTTCATTTTAAGGAATGTGATAACAGAACACAAAGGTCCATTTACAGAGTGGACTAGTAATATACCCATTATTACTAGATCCCCCACTGCACTTTATTATTTATTGTGTTTTTATCCTGTTGCTATAAATAAAATGACTCTTAGCAGTTTACACAATATAAAACATCATCAAAATATCCACAGTATAAATTGAAAACAATTAAGCAAAATCATATCATTAAAAGGTCACCTATTCAATTAAATGGATTTCAGATTTAAGCTAAAATGCTTTATGAAACAAACTCTGACATAAATTGAATGCAATCAGCGAGAAGGTCAGTCTGGTTTCAGTTGGGAGACTTTCAGGAGGCCAGCACTGCTACGGAAAAGCAACACCTTTTAACTTCAGCTCATTCAGATTTTCAAAAATGGAGAACTATAAGCAGTTTCTTCTCAATGACCTTATGGGTTGGTTCTATTCCAGTTGAAGTTAACAATCCTGCAAGTACTCAGGTACTGAACTGTAATGGACTTGGTGTGTCAAACCCAGCCTTTTAATTGCAGCTGGAAGTCAATCAGCAGGATAATATGCTCCTGTGTAAGCTAATACATTGTATTTTACATTTATTGCAGTTTCCAGATACAAGTTGAAGGTAGTCCCATATAGACAATGCTGCAGTAGTCTAATGGCAATGATGACACGAGCTACAAGGTCAGGGATGAAATCCAGCAGGTTCTGGAGAACCAGTAGTGGAAATTTTGAGCAGTTCGGAGAACTGGTAGCAGAAATTTTGTGTAGTTCGGAGAACCAGCAAATATCACCTTTGGTTGGCCCCAGAGTGGGGTGGGAATGGAGATTTTGCAATATCCTTCTCCCAGGAGTGGGGAGGGAAATGGAGATTTTGCAGTATCCTTCCCCTGCTACGCCCACCAAGCCACACCACACTCACCAAGCCACGCCCACAAAACCGGTAGTAAAAAAATGGATTTCACCACTGAGCAAGGTTTTCTTGCACTAGGAAAGGCCACAACTGGTATACCAGCTGAAGCTAGGCAAAGGCCCATTTAGTCATGTCTTCTAACTACTGCTTTAGCAGGAGCCTCCTTCAAGATAATGCCTTCCCATTAAAAGACAAGACTGGTGTTAGCACAACCTTAATGGACAAACAGTATTGTCTTTTCTGGGTTCAACTTCAGATTGTTCTGCTTCATCCAGACCATGATATGTTTTTGGCAGATCTATTTCATACTCAGTTTAATAGGATGGCTGAGCTGGGTCACTCATTATAAAACTTATCTCCTTTGAAAATAGTTTACATCTCATTTTAAAAGGATGGGGAGCTCTGTACAAGTAGATAAGGTTCAGGGTGAGAAAGAAGGATCTTTTCCATCAGGACCTAGTTTGCAAAGTATTAATGGTGAGGTGCATTTGAAGAACAGTAGAACAAACATCCCATTAGAAATAATGGTTATAATTCAGTGCATATCTTAATATGAATGTCCTCAATTTGCCCAATATTTCAATGAGATACATATACTTGTATGTTTCTGGATATTACTAATCATTCATAACAACATCAATCAAAACTTGTAGTGAGGGAAAAGTATTGTTATCAGCCCGTGAAGTTCTAAGTGCAGTTTAACAAAAGTGCATTGTCCTCAATAGATGAGAATATTTGTAGCTCAAGGTTGAACTGTGAGGTCCTTGGTGTTTGGTTGTTTTCTTGCAGATGTTCATTACTGAACTAGGTAACATTATCAGTTCTTCAGGGAGTGAGGTTTGCTCTCTGTATATATACAAACAGCTTGCTCTGTCAGTGTTGGTGGGACAGTGATAGTGATTCCTTGATTAAGGTGTTGTTTACTGTTTGATTGTCTGAGTCTGTAGTTCCTTGATTAGGATACTGTTTATTTTCCTAAACAAAAGGAAAGTATTAATTCTCTTCAAATCTGAGGGAAATAATCAGAGCAGCTTATTTGTAATGAAATAACAAATTGTGTTGTTCTGTGCTAGTAGATTCTTGAATGCTTGGATTAAAATAAGTATCTCCCCCCCCCCCCCCCCCGAACTGCTCTCCGATCTGACTCCTGCATTCCTGTCTGTCTGAGTTTAAAATAAAAAAATCTGTTCAAGATTCCCCCCCTACACCCACTTGTATCTTAAAAAAGAAATTGGAGAAATAAAGGTTATTTCTACATCATACAAAATATGCAGAAAAGTAACAATAGGGGATCTTTTACTTTGCATTATGAACACTCAACAATTTACTAGCTAAATGAGGTTTAACTAGTATCTGTTATCTTTAGACCCAACTCAGTATTGGATTCAACACACACAGGTAACTTCTGATTCTGTGATATCATAAGTCAATAGTTCAGTTTGTTTCTACCTAGTAGCTTCAGATTACAGAAGTATACACCCAACAGACTTGTATCAACTGAAATTCCTTTTGCAGGCATATGTCTCTGTATAACTATTAATAGTCTTGTTCCTCAAAACCCACTTCTGGTTATCTGCTCTCCTCTGAGATTGAATTTTAAACCTAAAATTGGAAATATGCAGATCAGTTCTCTCTTCAGCTGGCCAAGCTCCAGTTTTGGCTGATAAAACAGCAGGTGTATTCCTGGAGCTGCCAAAAGAGCAAATTATAATAAAAACCTATAGTACAATAAAGCTCAAAAGCCACAGATATATATTTTTTCTCCAAGC